AAATGAATATTATTTTGAAATACAGAGTTTCTTTATAATATTGATGTCAAAACGCTATAAGAACCTGGAATTAACACATTTTGAATTAACAAATCATTTATAACATAACATTGTTGTATATATTTATTGTAGTTTCCATTATTGTCAACAACCAATTTTGGACCTCAATTTTTGGGAAAAAGCTGTTAAACAGCTGTTTATTATGAAGCAGACAAGGAGTCATGCCATATAATTTGTAACCTTGCTATAATCTCACTCATATCCAGATCTCATAATGGAGAGCTAAATACTTACATCAGCAGTTCTCAACCTGTGGGTCACAATTCCTTTGGGCTTCAAATGACTTTCTCACAGGGTTTCCATATCAGATATTTACATGACAATTCATAACAGTAGAAAAATTACAGTTATGAAGTAGCAACAGAATTTATGGTTGGGGGTCACCACAAAATGTGGAACTATATTAAAGGGTCACAGCATTCGGAAGGTTGAGAACCACTGAGTTAAGTGGTAATTCAATTTATTGAAATTCAAAATCATGAAAAACACAGAAATGGTGTGATAAATTAGACACTAGTCAAAGTCCAAATAAATTGGGAAAGCCAATTGATTATGTGATTGCAGCTTAAGGAATGGTTACTTACATGTGAACTTCAAATTATTAGGATCAGCAAAGTATGCAATTTCCTCTAGAAAAATTTTATGAGCAGTACAGTATCCACCTTCAGATTTTGTTTCTCTCAAAAATACAAGATCAACTTACTATTTACTAAATGGACTAGTTTCTTGTTATTTTGAGACAGGGTTAACAGACCTGGATGGCCTGGAACTAACTCACTTTTGTAAACCAGGCTGGCCTTGAGCTCAGAGAGACCTGCCTGTCTCTGCATCCTGAGTTCTAGGAAAAACCCCCCCCCCCCCGAGCCTGGCTGTCCCATTGTCTTTTGATAAGCCCTCAACAGGGATTTTAGAGGAGGAAAGTTTTATTCCTAAACACTGCAATTTTTTTCGTTCAGATTTTTTTATTTGAATTACAAACAAAATATTGTTTTACATGACAATCCCAGTTCCCTTCTCCCTCCAGTCCTTCCCTACCACCTCCCCAACTAAAACACTACCTATCACATATCCTTTCTGCTCCCCCTGGATGGGGAGGCCTTCCATAGGATGTCATCAGTCTATCATATCCTTTGGGATAGGGCCTAGGCCCACCCCTGTGTGTCTTGGCCCAGGGAGTATTACTCTATGTGGAATGGGTTCCCAAAGTCTACACCTATGCTAGGGATAAATACTGAACTACTATAGGAGGTCCTGTAGATTTCCCAAGTTTCTTAAATGAAACCCATGTTCCTGGGGTCTGGATCAGTCCCATGTTGGTATCCCAGCTATCAGTCTGGGGAGCAAGAGTTCCCCGATGTTCAGGTCAGTTGTTTCTGTGGGTTTCACCAGCCTGGACAAGACCCCTTTGCTCTTCACTCATCCTTCTCTGCATCTGGATTCCAGTTAGTCATCAATCTCATTATCAGGAGAGGGCATTTAAGGTAGCCTCTCTGTTGCTTGGATTGTTAGCTGTGTCATCTTTGTAGATCTCCAGACATTTCCCTAGTACCTGATTTCTCTGTAAACCTAAAATGCCTCCCTCTATTATGGTATCTCCATTCTTGTTATCTTCTATTCTTCCCCTGACTCAACCTTTCCTCTCCCTCATGTCCTCCGCACCCCTCCTCTTCTCTCCTTCTCATTCTCCTAGCTCCCTCCCCCCTTTTCCCGTGCTCTCAATTTGCTCAGGGGATCTTGACCCTTTCCCTTTCTCCAGGGGACCAGGTATGTCTCTCTTAGGGTCCTCCTTGTTCTCTGGCAGTGTGGATTGTAGGCTGGTAATCCTTTACTCTGTCTAAAAGTATACATATGATTAAGTACATATCATGTTTGTCTTTTTGTGATTGGGTTACCTCACTCAGAATGGTTTCTTCTAGTTCCATCCATATTCCTGCAAATTTCAAGATTCCATTGTTTTTTT